AGCCGCAGGGGACCCATATCCGACCTCGCAGCCTCAGTGACCCTTTGGTTCAGATGCACCCTACCTTCCTTGTGGCCAACCACATCACCATCGGCCCCTTGTGAGGAGACCGTGACCTCCTTTTCCTTGTGCACTCGACGCCTTTTAAAGACTTGCGCCAAGGGGCAATCCATCCCACTATCCATCTCCATCATTCCTTGCCCGTCAAAGGCCTCGTCGAAGGATCGAACCACCCCCGTACGCTTGGACGGCATCGAAGCCGTGTCATCCTTTTGAGGTTCGTCATCAAACAAACCTAGCCGCTGGCCTGTTAACTGATTCTCTGCCCGGATACTATACACATCCTTCATTATCGTTTTCCACCGTCTGTATTGTTCAACTTCAATAGCCCTTGAGGCCTTGACACTGCATGCAGCACCCACGTGGTCCAGTCACCCACAATATAAACAGAAATACGGGAGCCGCTCATATTCGATTTCATACTGTTTTGCCAGTTCATCTGCCGACAAACGCAGTGTGCCACATCGTTTTAGCGGCTCATTGATTTTCAAACCCACCCTTATACGTAGAAAGCTCCCCAAGCAGTCTCCATTTAAGCCACGATCCACCATGTAGAACGTACCCAAAAAATTACCTAGTTTTTCTCCCATGGCTGGGGTCAGAAAAATCGGCGGAATACGGCGCACACGCACCCAAAAACTTTGCGAATCCACCGAAACGGACATAGGATCCACCTCACCATCAGTGCTCGCCAGTAGCAACAACGCCCTATCAAAAGTCCAAGGGGAGCCCCTCATCACCTTCTTCCTATCGAAATCTGTTTTGAAAGAGAACAAGAACCTCTTGGGGTCGTCCAGAGACACCGCAGTGAACTCCTCCCTGGTATGCCAAATCCTCTTCAACGTGCCAAATAAAGCCTCCTTATGAAACGCCTTTGAAGTGAGCAATTTCCCAACAAGCAAGAACCGTTCAGCCTTCAAGTTTCCCAGATCCTCTAACCCGACAACCTCCACTGATTCAGATTCTGAAATTGCCAAGGAAGAGGTGAGACCTGATACCAGTTCATCAACAGCCGCCATCATCCACTCAATGCTTCCCTGTGTAAGCCGAAGGCAACACCCAAACCCCGCTTGAACAAAAGTGCTTCCCTCTGTACGCCGAAGGCAACACCCAAAACCCGCTTGAACAATAGTTCCGCCGTATTCCACACTGTACGTGTGATGAAACAGACATCGTTGAAAGCAGCCGTGAACCACAAGCAATCACTTAGAAACCCTAACCAACCTGTACTGGAGACTGGCGGCACTAAAACCCTAACCTAGGAGGAAGGGACTGTACACACATTGTTATTCACATTACCATTTTGTTAATGAGAAATTGAAAACGTGAGATAGATAGGCCAAAAACAAACTGATAAGAACAAAATCTATGCAAGGCAAAAACAAAAGGCTCAAGTAATTCAACCCCAAAAATTGGAAGGCAAATGTTTATATATTTATTTTTGGCTAAGTCCATGTCTGCAAAATTAGAAAAAAATTAGAAATCTTTGGTCAATAAGAAAAGAAAACCAATTTTGTTAAATTACTTTTTGAAAAAATAATGGAACAATTTTATTCATGTTTTAATTACTATTGCAGATGGGAACTACGGTCTACCATCCAATAGTAGACAACAAAGCCACCTCTTATCTCGAACTAATATGGATAGATAGCAATTTTCCAAAGGCTTCATTTGCAGAGACAGAGAGCTCCAACAATGGCTACTAGTACCACACCCTCATCCCTCATGCTAACGTACGCCTCCTCCTCTGTGCACCCACAAGACTTCACTCCCTCGCTCGTCTCCTTCAAGCCCAAGCCGCTCTTTAAAACTTTTTGTCTCTGCCCACTGGTTTTGAGGCCTAGAGAGAGAAGACCAAGCAAGTGGGTCAATTTGAGTTTGTTAAAGGAAGCCAAGTTTGAGCCTTACCCTGTCGCTGCGGCTGCTTTGACTGCTGAGGCAGAGGTGGCTGAGGATGTGGATGAGGATGAAGAAGGAAAAGGCGATAGTTCTGTTACTGTTGCTGTTCCAAAGCCCAAGAAAGGGAAGGCTGCATTGCTTTTAAAGAGGGACAGAGTAAGTCTTTTCGTCATTATCTTCTGCTAGCTTGGTTTTCCCAATTTTTTGAGCCGAAATTTGTTTTCTTTTTTGGTTATCTCGTTTGTGTGTCTTCATTAAGGCTCTTGGATTTAAATTTCAGAAGTTATTGCATTTTTATCGAAACAAAATATGCCCAGTGATTCTTTTATTGTTCTTTTACCTTTTTTTGTTGTTGAAGAATATCGATTAATCTAGAAATGGGATTAATGGGTTTTTTCTTTCTTATCAAAAATTGTGTCAGAAAAACCCTTCGTTGAATTCTTTAAGGAAATATAGTCACTAACTTTTTGTAAGTTATGCTTCTTCAGATTCTAGAAGGATTGATTGAGTAAAGTAAGGTCACGTTATTGTCTTGAAAAAGACACTGGTTCTACAAATATAATACATACATTCTTCAAGTTTGATGGTTTTTCTGTTGTTAGTATAATTCTAAAGATTGAAGAAACCCCTAAAGTTATTTTTTGTAATTTGGTTTTAGTTGATTTATATTCGTGCAATGTCCTGTTCTTACATTCTTCCAAGATGTCAGTAGTGATTCAAACGCTCAATTGTCTTCTGTTCACAATGTCAGACAAGGTCCAAAAGATTCTTGGAAATTCAGAAATTGAGGGAAACCAAAAAAGAGTATGAGCTGCAACCAGCAATAGCTTTACTGAAAGAAATGACCAATACAAAATTTGTAGAAACTGCTGAAGCTCATTTCCGCCTCAATATTGACCCAAAATATAATGACCAACAGCTAAGGGCAACTGTGAGTTTTCTGATCTTGTTAGTCAGAAATATGTTTAGGCTTATCAACTGCTTAGCAGTACATTATATTCTTTCATGTGTTATGGAATTCTTGTCCTAGGTAAACCTGCCCAAGGGAACTGGACAGACTGTTAAAGTGGCTGTTCTTACTCAAGGTAGCTACTCTCTCTTTTTCTCTTTGTACTGTTGTGCTTAATGGATAAAAAGTAAATATATCTGTCATTTAGCATGAGCTAAGGTGATGTGTTATGTAAATCACTTATTTGAACTTACTGAGGATACAAGTTGGAAATTTCAACCTAAAGAATGAAAAGTAGAGGAGCATAACTGTGCAAACAATTTCTGCGTTAGCATGTATTAGCCAGGTCTATTATTCTTGAAACTGCTATCTGAATTCTCTATAGGTAAATTGTTCTGTCAATTAAGCCTACAAGGCAAGAACAAGTAACACCTTTACTGAGTGGGGTTTTATTCTCATTACGGTTTTACCTTGGTTGAAAAGAACAGAAGAAATGCTTGCTTGGCTGAATCTAGGCATCTCTAAATGGTTTTCATCTTCTGTGAATGGGACTTTATGCAAATGAATTAGTTGGATGGGGTATATTATTTTCATTTCTTCAATGATCTGGTCTTGAAATGATTGATGAGACTTTTTCTACCACTAATCTTGGTGAATTTCCTACACCTGTCGGTTTCTAACTAGTGTATCACACTCCTTTTCGAAATTCAAATTGGATTGGAGCATTATCATTTCTCTTGTAAGGCCTATTCATAATATTTTTTCTTGCAAGTCAATTTATCGTATTATTTTTTTTATCCCTGATGACATGACAGTCTCTTAGTCATTTGGTCCAAAAGAGGTTAAAATTTACTCTTAGGAATTGTAAGATTTTTCTTACCTCTTTTAAGAAAAAAAATGGAAGTAGTTACTAAGGATGTTGGAGATGTTACACTTTCTTGCTTTAGCTTATAATTGGCACCAGTTCTGTTGCTTGTTGATTTTTCACGTTGGCTTGTTTGTATTTAATTTTATATAAATACAGATATATGGTTTCTGTAGATTTAATCCGGCATGAAAAATATGTGTTATATCTACAAAATTGCACCTTAGGTATTTCATTATTAGCTGGCATAGATTAACCTCAATAGACATGTACTGTAGTTTTTGAATGATACCAAGATTATGTATGCCTTATACTTATCCAAAAGTCTAAAATGTTCGGGTTCTCATATTTTTCCTTTCATATTGTGCAAAAATATTCTTATTCCTTAAGCTTTTTTGCTACCCCTCAAGCTCATTTTATATCACAAGCATCCATGTGTGCAGGTGCACTCGGGGCTCCTGTGAGTTGCAATAATTTTAACACGAAAGGTTTTTGGTTTTCATAGTATTTCATGTCACAGGTTATCTTCTTTAATATCTACAGGTGAAAGGTTTGATGAAGCAAAAAATGCTGGAGCAGATTTGGTTGGTGGAGATGATTTGATACAACAGATAAAAGAAGGATTCATGGAATTTGACAAGTTAATTGCTTCGCCAGATATGATGCCCAAGGTGTTGCCTTCATTATTTTGTCTAATCAATATATATATATAACAATGTCTATTTGACAATGAAGTATGGTAATCATTTTCATTTTTATACAGTACAGTAGGCATCTGGACGTCGGGTAAAAGCTAAAATACTACCGTCTTTTTTTGGTTTTTGGTCAACAAAATTAGGGTTTATGATAAAAATAAGGACTAGTTTTGCAGCAGAAAAAGAAACTAGTCAGTTGAATCTAAATCCTGATGTGCATGATGAAATGCTGACGAATATTGTTTGGTTGTATTCAGTATCCATGTTTATTTTTGTGCAAAATCCTGTGATGCCCCCCGCCACCCCACCCCCACAATGCCTTGTACATTTGTAGCATACAATGCTCTCACTTGTTGCTTATGCATTTAAGGACAATAATACAATGCCTGTCATAATGGTAATTTGTATTTGATGCCACAAGTCACCTTTGTCATAAGTGAAATTAAGAATAAAAAATTTGCACAAAATTACGTCTCATAATCAGACACTCATGCCACAAAACTAAATAATTAAAAGTAAGAAAGGAAAAACAATATGTGCTGCCCTCTTTTCCTCGTGACTTGTTCTTGTGGAGTGAAAAAGGTGACTTCTGTTAGACTAGCTGGTTTGGTCTGCTTTTATTGATTCTACCAGTTTGGTGTCTTAAACATGCTTAACTTTCACATTTTACATCATATTATTTGGACATCGTTCTAACTTGAACCAAAGTGCATATAGTTCACAATTTTTTACTTTCTGTTTTGTATATGCTGTATCTGTGTTTGATAATGGCTGGAATTTATGGTATTCAGTTACATTTATTGTCTTTGATGTTTGTCAAAGGTCGCTAGCCTAGGAAAGATTCTAGGACCACGAGGGCTCATGCCAAATCCGAAAGCTGGTACTGTCACACCTAATATACCTCAGGTATGATTTGGATTTCAATGTTTTAGTTTTCTTTCTGCACTTGTGTGGATATTCATTCTTACCCTGAACATTTAACTGGTTCCTAGCTACTGTATTAAATGACCTTACTCATATTCTCTGTTTCAGGCCATAGCAGAATTCAAGCAGGGGAAAGTTGAATACAGAGCAGATAAAACTGGTATAGTTCATTTACGTTTTGGAAAAGCTGACTTTCCTGAAGAAGACCTTCTCGTAAACTTGCTTGCCGCAGTGGTATGTTCTTCTCCTTAATTTCCTAATATCCATTGCTGTTGGAATTGCATCCACTTGCTATGAAATTTAATTTTACTTATGCTTTACCTGACAGAAATCGGTAGAAACAAATAAGCCACCAGGTGCGAAAGGTGTTTACTGGAAAAGTGCACATATATGCTCATCAATGGGTCCTTCGATTCGGTTAAATATAAGGGAGATGCTCGATTTCAAGCTTCCAACAAATTGAAGAATACTAACACCTGTACATGTTGTCTTTAAATTGTTCATTCAGCCTCTTAGGTGCCACTGTCAAAACTTTGCGAATGTAGTTAGTAAAGATGGTAGGAGAGTAAGGGGATGAAGAGAGAGAGAGAGAGGAGAGAGGGTGACCTTGATGTTGTATCTTGGTTGAGACTGTCCCTTAAAGAGAGCATATTACAGTCTCATCTACCCGAGTGAGAGTGAGAAAGGCCATGTACTAATTTTGTGATCAATATTATCAACTCATCACTTTTGATTTTTTATTTTTTTTAATTAATGAGGGAGATTTTACTGTCGTGTACGCTCGGTTCTTGGGCTGCGGAAATTCTTCATGGTTGGAAGAAAGGGGTGTTCTCCAATTTGCCCGCTACGCAGTGCTGTTTTCCCCTTATATTAATTTGTTGACAAAGGAGATTAGTGTGGGCATGTTAAGGACATTGACGGATTAAAGAATTTAAAAAGTTTGTTCACTTTTGAATTAAAGAATCTAATTTAAGGGGAAGGGGTTTGTAGACTGTAATGGTTTTACTTATGCCTTCAAGGTCCTAGGTTTGATTTTTCACTCCCTAAATATCGCTTTTATTAAATAAAAAAATAGAGGAAAAAATATTTTAATTCAGGGACTAGTGCTCCAATTTACTCTTTTGTTTAACGTGTACATCACCCCCTCTAATAGTGGATCAAGATTCAAGTGCAACTATGGTCCTTGTACTATTAATTTTTGCAAATTGCAATAAATAATTATATTATATCATAGTAGAACAAGATTAGTAAACAAGGTAATTTTCTGTTAACCAAGTAACGGTAAAACTGTTTGGATTTCTACCTGTTTTAGCCACCAATTCTACCTTGATTATTTAATACATAAAGAATAATGCTACTCTTACAACATTTGTATACCACATTCTCATACCACCTTATGCGGCAGATGAGGTGTACAACCACATCAATTAAAAAGTGTCGATAAATATTAAAAAAACAGAAAATGTTAAATTAGTTTTAATTGATGTGGTTGTACACCTCATCTATCACATAAGTTGGTATTGGAATGTGATATACAAATGTGGTAAGAGTAGCATTACTCATAAATAAATGAACAAAAGTTTCTTTTACCTGGCATTTGCCCATGGCAGCCTCCAATTCTACAGCAAATTACTTGCGACCTTGACTCCACGTGGAGAGAGAGAGAGAGAGAGAGAGAGAGAGAGAGAGAGAGGAGAGAGTATTTCTACAAATTCTCAAAAAATAGAAATTTAAATGAGTACATTTTTTACACCAACTGCCTTGATTTTATTGAGTTTATTTTTAGACATTAACTTGAATTTCAACACAGGATTATTCTCTTCCAAATCACAGCTCGGCCTCTTCAAACAATACCAGTGTGATAGATATGGGGAAAGCTAGTTACTCCAACGGATAACCATGCAAGTTATGTAGAAGTAATGAAATGGAAACATCATGAGGCTTGAAATATCAAACGTTTATTTATGTTACACAAACAAGATACTGGATATTCATTGACCATCGATAGAAGCATAAACGAACCATCACGCCTCCAAAATATAATGCTTTTTTGGTTTTGGTTATGCCTAAATCCAATCCTTGCTGCTCAAATACAAGGCACTCCCTATGAACAGGAACAGCCCTAGAGCCTCATCCGAGCAACCACGATAAAACATTTGTGAAAATCATCTGTACAAAAGGGTAGAAACAATTTACACAGGGATGATCATTTTCAAAAAAATTCCTGATTGCTCCCCATTTCAAAAGGTAATTGTTACTTTCAGCATTGGCTTTTTCCTACTAAGCCTATGACATTTCCCCAGCAATCACCCTGGCTCCAGACTGAATTAACAAAAAAGAAAGAATTTTTGGTGAGTAGTTGATAAGTTTCAACATATCAATAGATAATACTGACTGTTAACTCTCGAGTGATGTTTTCACCTTTTGCTGGCTGCTTGATCCAGGGGCCATTCATTATGTTCAAAATGCTGCATGCTTCACTGTAATCCAGATCTGGTAGCAACTTTGGGGTAAGCAAGAAGCACCTGAACAAGATGGGACAGAGACCAAAACTTAAGTCACTTTTTACAATTGGCAAGTCAGGCATACGAGAAGCAGAATGTGCTTTGTCAACTCCAAATTATACGGCAACAGTCATATATTCTCAATTGTGTCATTGCTTACACAATCTTGCAATTCTTTCGCTCACATTAGAAGCAGAAACTGCGTGACCTAAATTATGTACCATGCAAATGATTAGGGTATCCCTCAGCATTCTGGTGCAAACAGCAACACCATTTAAGGAGCAGCTAAATGTGACGTACACACTGAGACACAGACTACAACAGAGCGCTATTACATAGGAAAGGTTGGTGATTATAGCAACCAACACTTGTACAAGAAGTTTCATTCTTGTTCCCATTTTGTTATTTTGCACCTTTTCATTCTTGTTCCCATTTTGATATTTTGCACCTTCTAAAACAGATCAAAATAGAGAGAATTTGCAGGCACCAAAAAAATAGACAGATAACTATCGCAAATTAGGCATAGTGCTCTTACTGTGGTGTATTTGGTTGGGATGCTGCTCTTACTAATTGCTGGAACATCTTTCTCTCATTTATAGGATCCATCCCTGAGAAAATATTAAATGCCACAATGATTTTTTCTGAGATAGATGGAACTTGATGTGAGGAAAGAAAAAGCAAAAAGCAATCTGTTGTGCAACCAACCTTGATTTATCTCATCAACCACCCTAAATGGGCAATTTGTAAGGTCTTGAAGAGAAACAAGATAAAGTATAGTTGAAACTGAACGCTCCTACAAAATGGGAAGTTTGAGGCACAATAAGGTAAAACTGTAGTATTTGAATCAAGAACTCAAGAATATAGTTAGTGTAATACCCCTCCAGATTGATGGTGGGCACTGAGAACTTGTAGCTGCCCTGCTTGTCTGATGACCATAAGGTCCAAACAAATTTGTGAGCAGTAGATACGTATTAACCAGAATTTCACATAACAAATCAAGAGCTGTGAATTCATAGCATCTTAGTGGAATAGCAGAAAATTTAAAATCCAGCTATTATTTCCTATGGTAGAATTTCATTTAAGCAGGATATCTATACTATATGTATCAAATTAACTGGAATGGAAAAGAAAAGCAGGCAGTTAGTGGCACTTGAATACCTCTAACGAGCTCAGTTGGTGCCCAAAGGTTAAGTTTTTATATATCCTTCAAACACTATCTAAACTATCACTTTCCAAATTCTAACAAAAAAGTTTCAGATTTAATTTCTTTTTCTCGAAAAAGTAATTCGTAACTGAACTGATGCTAAGTTTCGGACACCAACATCAAACTTCACAAATTTTTCAAAAGGGGGGTTTCACTTCTCTATATTTAAGTAAATAAAAATAATAACTCTCATAAATTAGACTTCCAAATTTAAATGTCTAGTAGCACCATGAGAGTATATAAGCAGGTCACCTGAATTTTACTTTTATAAGTATCCCAAATTGATCGAAGTCCATTTCATGCTCATCTGAGAAGAAACATTAAATAAAAGGAGGACGTGAAACAAATAATAAGACATTTTCTTCCACAAAAAAAGAAGACATTTTCTAGAAATTGTAATACTGAGGTACCCAATGAAACTTCCCCTGCAACAGCCATTTCTTGGAAGTTCCAACTGAAAGTCTCATTTATCTGAGCAACAAGGTTTCTTAATGTTGGAAGCCAAGTTTCCTACAAATAATTTAAAATTAGGACACTAAAAAAAAATATCCACATTAAAAATATACTGATGAAAGTAGGCAAATATGCACAGAAACATTCAACATGAAACAGAGAAATAAAGGGGGGAAAAAGAATACAAAAGTACTTTGACACTGATGTTTAGATTTAAAACCCTTCATCACCACTGTTGATCTAAAAAGTTATTCAACTTGACCATCTTGGTAATACAAGTGAGGACTGGAAATGTGAAAATTTGTTCAATGCCTTTGGAATTTGTTGTTTGTTGCAACTGATAAATTGTGGCAGCACAAAAGAACCGCAATTTCAATGGAGAATGTAAACTGCATACAAGCTAACGTCAAAGACCAGAACTTAGGTAAATTCTAAATTACTCGAAGGACAGATTGTTATGGTATGTAGAATAAGAACGCAAATGTGACACCTACTTAGTCATAAACATGAACAGTAGGTGTAGTGTTAAACAAAAGTTATGGACTGCTTCTTGAGAAGCTTAAATGAGAAAGAATATTTCAATTACCTTTTTATATGATTAGCATCCATCATATTTCCTTCCAGAAGTGGCAATAAGGGATGTTTACAAGGATATTCTGGATTGGATCAATTGACTAGAGATTATAATTCATTAAGGAGCAGTACATTGTGGTGACTCTGGGTAGAGTGGTTACAGCGTGAGATCAAATGGCCAAAATTTATTGTCAGGTGTTCATGCAGGAGACCAACAGAAACTTCACAAAACACTCATTAAGGTAACACCCAAGCTTCACTAACCTCTGATTTGACCAAAAAAAAAAATGCTCCACTCACCTTAAGATTATCTACTTCAGCTATACATCTCCTAAGCTCCGCTTTATCTGCTTCCAACTTTTTAGCCTTATCTTCTATCTGCAATATAATAGCAATTTCTGGTGAGGAAGTTAAGAAGAAACAAGAAAAGAAAAAGAAAAACTAGCAAAGATGGCAGAAAATTACCTGGCGCTGGCGGTCTTCATATTCTTTCAGTATATTGTGATTTAGGAAAAGAATAGAATTAGCTTGAGAAATATTTTCCTGTATAGCAGCCTCCAATTCTTCAATTGTAGTAGGCATCTAGACATAAATATATAAGATATTATGTCACATTACTCATACGATTAGAAGCAATAAATAGTTAAATTTGAATGACATAATAAACCCAGAAAGAGGGGAGACCCATATGCAAGGAACATAAATACTATAAGCATAATATGAAGTGCAAACGTTGAGGCCCCTGTCCAAATTCCACTTGGCTCAATGTTTTGATACTTGCTTTCATACAACTTTTACAGATCCAAATAATGGCTTCCCACTCCATACGTAATTTCACAACAAACATTATATACACAGATGTATATGTTGTCATTCTGATATATTTCAATATCCTGAAGAATGACCTACTGGAATTTCTAAGCATTGGATGCCACAAAACAGGTAATGACTGAGCACCTGACATAAAAGTTTGGGGGTTTTTTAGTAACAAAAAGTTTGAACTATTGACTGCCCCCCCCCCCCCCCCCCCC